CTCATTAAAACTTTTTATTTTGGGACAGGATCTAGGTAAGTTGCCCTGACTAGGTCTCAACTTGTGATCCTCCTGCTTCAGCCCTTTTAAGGCTGGGCTTATAAGCATGCACCAGAACACCTGGCAAATTGAGTCTTCTTGAAGAGGCTGAGAAAGATACCGCATAGACAAAACAGCTTGATTCAGAAAGCAAAGCGCTCATTTCAGCAGTGAAAGTGGTGTTTAGTCCATGCACCACTTAAAGCTGTGTGTGAGGAAAGACAAGCTCAGAGAGATAATAAGAAAATACAGATGAGGCAGAAGGAACAGAGTAGGAGCAACTTACACCAGGCAAGAATGGGGGCCCTGGGAATGATTAAAATATAAAGAGGGGAGCTGGCCTGGTGGAGCACATCTGTAATCCCAGCATTCTGGGAGGCTGAGGCAGTAGTATCACAAATTTGAATTTAGCCTGGGTACCTTATTAAGATCCTGTCTTAAGGCCTCGAGTTCAGTCCCCAATATCAGAAAAAAAAGTAAAGGGGGAATTCAGAAAAACTTGGTGTGTGTGTGTGTGTGTGTGTGTGTGTGTGTGTGTGTGTGTGTGTGTGTGTGTGTGTGTGTGTGTGTGTGTGTGTGTGTGTGTGTGTGTGTGTGTGTGTGTGTGTGTGTGTGTGTGTGTGTGTGTGTGTGTGTGTGTGTGTGTGTGTGTGTGTTTGTGACAGTGGGTCATTCTTTCCAGGAACGGTGGCCACTATTCCCTTCTAGCACCCCTGAGGTTGCCCCCCATCTCAGCAGTTCAGTGGTATGTGCCATTGGAAGCTGGTTAATGAGTGAGTTGATGTGTACAAATGATGGCCAAAGTCATGGTCAGAGTGCTCCACACAAATCTGCCAGGATAGCTGTGAATGTGAGCTCTCCCACAAGAACTCTGGAGCCACTTTCTGAGCCCATGAGGCCTTTCAAGGGACAGGAAGATCACAAGGGAATCCAATTTCTTGCAGAAACCTGAGGATATTACAAATATGACCTTTAGAGGGCATAGGGTAAAAGGTAAGATGACATTTATAAACCCTAGTTCAGTGGTGCTGAAGCTGTGGCACATGTGACATATGGGCATGCACAACTCTCTCTGTCAGCAGGCATGCGGGCCAAGTCTCCCCAGCACTGCCAGCAGCAGAGCATTGGATAACAATGCACACAGGGGCAGTGTTGGTACTGTGTGATAAACGTGAGGTTGCACTTTGCAATAAATACGTGGGTTGCAGTTTGGGCACTTGGTCTCTAAAAGGTTCAACATCACTGGCCTAGTACCTTGTTTGGTAATAGGGTAACTGATCATGATATTCTGCTCTGTTTGATCTTCCTCCCCTATGAGTTTTACAGGATCAGAGAGTTTCTTGCTCCTGTGGGACCTACATGAATATTCTTGTGTGGCTCTCACTACATGGTTGTCACATTCTACCCTGCAGGTAGCTCCATTTCATCAGCAGGGAATGACAGACAGAAACATATACAAACATGCATTTGCTTTAAAAAATAAATATAGTGCTTCTAGTTAAGAGGTGCTATATTAGGAGTGTCTTCTTTCTTGTAAAGTAAACACACTTGTGCGTTGACCTTGTAAACACCTTCCATGTTAGTGTTAAGGCTCAGGCTTCTTAAATCTTGATACCTTGCTAAAGAGATTCCTTGTCTTAAGGCTTGATTTGCCCGTGACCTTTCCTAAGTTTCTTTGGTTTGGGAGGTGGATCTTCTAACACTAGGCTCCCCAACTCTTGGACCGATGATGGGTACCAGTCTATGGCCTGTTAAGGACTGGATCACACAGCACTAGGTAAGTGAGGAAAACTCCATCTGTATTTGCAGCTGCTTCCCATAGCTGGAATCACTGCTTGAGCTCTGCCTTCTGTCAGGTCAGCAGCAACATTATATTCTCATAGAGGATCAAATCCTACTGTGAACTGTACTCACTAGGGAATCTAGATTTTGTGCATCTTATGAGAATCCAGTGCCTGATGATCTGAGGTGGAGCTGAGGTGGTGATGCTAGCATTGGAGAATGTATAGTAATTACATACCACAAATGTATACTAATGAAAAGAAACTAACCCTTTCCCCAGTTCATGGAAAATTACCCTCCACAAAACTGATCCCTGATGCCAAATAGGTTTGGGATCACTGTTCTAGAAGACAAACCATCTGAACTCAGAAGCTCCAGGCCATGGCAAACAACTTGGTCTGACTTGCTTTGTCCCTCTTTCCCTGAGGAAACCAGTATCAGGACTCACTCAAAAGCTTTGTATGCTTGCAAAAGTCTGAGATAATGATAGAATCCTGACCTACAGAGACAATGAGGATTTCTATACTTAGTACTTAAATTTGTAGGGCTGGTTCTAGTTTCTGATACTATCTTGATCTTGACCTTGTCCTATTGCCCTATGTAATTCTCCATATCTTCATCAGCCTCCCAGAGAATTTTGATAGCATAGGACAGATGTTGACAGTCTACAATGGTAATGAGGCTCCTGCTTGACACCTGCTTGAGGTGTTACAATGAGTTCATATAAAGTATCTGCCATATTTGATGCTTTCATGGTTATACTTTTAAATTTCATATTCATGAGGGACTAATTGATCTATCTGAGACTCCTACAGTAAAAGGCCTCCTCATCAAATCATCAAATCCAACTTTCTGTATTCACAGCTAAAAATTAAAACATCTATCTTATCTCTGCATGTATTTTGGTATGTATTCCCTTTCTCCTTGCTCCCTCTCTTTTTCCATAGAGTAAAAGACCTTTCTCCAAAGGAATTTCTTCACAGATGCTAAATGCCTAAAATCTATTTTTTTAAATTTTGTTTTTTTGTTTTAACACAGGGAAGGGGAAGTATTGTTTTTACTTGTTTTCTTCTAGGAGGTTTCAAGAAAATAAAAGGATCCATGTTTGGTAAGGACCCACTTAAGTACCAGACACATTGTTAAGTACTTCATATACATAAAAACTTTTCAGATAAGGAGGCTTGTGAGGATGAAGTGATATTTTTCTGCCCCCACTGGGACCCTTTTTAATGGATTGGTTCTCCTGGCTAGAATGGATAAAGGAATGCACAAATCACCAGAACTCTTTAGCTAGAAATTAAAAGGTCTCTAATTAAAGGAAGCTGGGTCTGGGCCAGGCAGCCACATCATTTAGAGGAGATGCATTTGAAGTTCACCACCTCGGGACCATCATACAGTCCCTACCTCCTACTCCACCTAGCTGTCTCAGGTTAATCTCAGGCAAAGGTATAATGAGGCCAAGTCTGCTTCCCTCGAGTCCTATAGCACTAATAGCACTAATACTGCCCCTCTGAGCAAAAACCCTGTTGTAGGTGGGGCATCGCTACTTCAAATTGCTCCTGACTCATCCATCTCTCAAGCAAAATCCCAGCAGGCCATTCCCTTAGGGCCCTGCTCCCAGATCTGGAGCTGATAAACTAATTGGGGCTAATGTGATAATGGGCAATAATGACATTTACTGTTTTTTTATCAGGCCCAGGGCAAACATTTGCATGTTGAGAGTACTCCGAGTTGAAAAGGAGGGAAGGGTGGGACTATGTGGTATAAATTTACAGAGGCAAAGGGGCTTTATAGAGCTGCCCTGAACTGTACTGTCTTAAGCTTCAAGACCTTCTTTAAGAACAGCTTGAGTTCCAAGAACTTCCCAAGTCCACTGATGCTCTCCTTCTCTGCAATCATCCTACATAGCAAGCATGGAAGAAGTCATACCACCTCAGAATGCAATAACCATTTGCTTTCTGGTCTATTCACCAGGAGCTTCGGCTCACATGCAGGCCTTTCATTTTTTATATAAGGAACTTCTTGCTTTTGATCACAAAACCTTTATGTCTTTGCCACAACTCTACTTCCCTTCCCCACAAAGGGGATAAGTCCCATGAGTTTAAGATAGCTTCTTGGTATCATACAGGCCAGGCCAATATCAGGGAAGACTCAAGAGAGAAAGTTAATGGTTAGGGGATAGTATTTTTCCCAGCCAGGGCAGCTGCTCCTCTGTACAGGTGCATGAGCATCTGTGACCTAGTGAAGCAGGAACAGGCCATTCCCTGCGTGACCTTGGCCTAAGAGGTTGAGTGAGTATTTGAGATTGATAGACCCTCCTCATCTGCTGTCTTGCCCAAATTATTGTTTTAGCCCCTGTTTCAGGATCTTGGTCATTCCCTCTGTTGCTCCTATGAGGAGTGTCAGTAAATAGAAAGATCATAAGTGGCAAGAGAAAATGAAAAAACAAGATAATCCAGCAAGGCAGTCATTGCATTGTCGAGAATAGACCGCTGAGGCTGGATAGCTCATAGTGGAGCTTCCCTCTAGGGACCTTCTCTTTCAAATTTTCCTCCAAGGCTCTTACCTGGGGCCAAGGGAGAAACACTTCTCCAAGTCCCTTGAAATTGCCAAGAGTCACTGTCAAGAAGGCAGTCATGGTGTCTGGAGAGAAAATTGGCCGGAAGCTCCTTCAGACCATAATACATGAACAGCCAGGGCAAAGATCTTGGTGCTAAAGCTGAGTGGCCTAAATACAGATTAGAAAATGAGACAGATGTTCAAGAGGGCTCCTCCTCCCAACCCCTCTACTGCCCTCTCTGCCAGATTTGGACTTCTGCTCACTTTCCTTTCCTACTCTCCCTTCCTGATGGTGTTTTTGGGGAGCACACGGTGCTTTTCACCCGAAACTGCCTCTAAGCTGTAAAGAACAGTCACCACCAAATCAATTCCTCATCTATTAACAGGTTGTCTCTCTGTGCTTGAGACACAGGCATAACCTGGTTAGACCTGTTTTGTTTGAACACTAACGTGTGAGTTGGCCAAATGTAAATGAGCCAATGTTTGTAATCCTTTATTTTATTTTTTTAAAGGGCTGGGCAGCCAATCACAAGAGGGGGAAGTGACTTAGGGAATTCCCGGTTGGTGGCTTATTGCTTAATATCCTACAAAATGATTTTAAATTATTGTCATATGCATTTATCTTCACTCTGATGAGGGCTCAGAGGTGATAACACCTGTGGTTCCCCATCCTGGTAGGAGCTGGCGTGACATCTGCTGGCTGCCTCCTCTCCTCTCCATTAGCCAGAGATATTGGATTTCCCACCCAGAATCTTTAGGCAAATGAGGTAAGTCCTTATTTTTAAACCTTCTTTTGGAATTCAAACACCTGCATGGAAAGAGAAGCCTGCCTTGAACCAGACAAATGAAAATAGAGCAACGTCCTGTAGGTAGCTGGCAGGAATGAAGCTTGCCTGTCTGGGCTTACCTCACTGCCTCTTGTTCGAGTTTTATTTTGGGGGCAGCTGAGCTCTTTGGGGCTATCTGTGAATTCCCTGTCTTGTTCGGGCTTCTAATCACTGCGAATTTAAAGCCCCCGTTCCCTTCTACATGTGCGGCAAAGCCATGTTTCTGTGTTGGATTCTTCTGAAACAAATAGGCAGATAGGAATAGGTGGCTCTGGTGTAGCTTAGTGAACACTTGATTGGCTAAGTAGCTTTGGGGGGCTCAGAGCACACCATGTCACTCTCTAGAGGCATCTTCTGCTGATACTTTTTCTGACTCATGAGCTGTAGGGAAAGGCCAATTCATCTGTACTATGTTTCAGTGTTGGAAAGTGGCAAGGAAATTCTATTCACATGGGAAAGAGTGGCCAGGAAGCCAAGATAGTGAGGGGTACCGGGGAGAGCTAACCACTTAAAAATGAACTCTGTCCAGAAAAAAAAAAAAATCAGTTTAGGCAAAAGCACAAAGGGACAAAGTCACCTTTTGTTCCATAATGGGATATTATGACCAGAAAAGCAGACATGACTCAGCAGCCACAAATGCATTAGAAACAGGGATTCTTTTGATTTTGTTTAGACACCGTGAAGAAGTGCATGTTCCCGCATGGACAGAGCTGGGCCAGTGGGGAATTAATTTTCTTGTTGGTCCACGGCAGCTCCAAAGTGGTGCTACTTTGCCAATCTGTCCATCTTTGTCAGTTTAGAATCCCAAGCTCTATTGTGAAAGTGTGCGTTGTTCAGATGAAGTGTAAGATTCTGTGAGTTCGGGAACTCAGTTGTCTCACCTGGTGGTCTACAATGATCTCAATGGCAGGGAAAAAAAGAGCGAGTGTTTGGATTCTGAGAACTTCTGGTGAAAGGTTTAGTTTAGACACTGATTCTATAGATACAGGCATGAAGATGCGTGCAGATGGTATCTTTCGGTGTGCAAAGGGAAATTGGGGATCGTGTGTGGCAGTGTGCTACTTCCACTGAGGCCAAGGGAAGAGTCAATTTCCAACAGGAGAGATGAAGATACATTATTAAGAAAAATTTCATGGTTAAGAAATCTGTCAGAAAAAAAAATCTTAGTGAGATTTTAAGAATGATGGTAATGGCTGCATTTAGAGTTTGCAGAAAAAGCTCCCTTTGTCCTCTTTTTGTGACCTAAAATTCTGGGACTAAGAAATAACCCATTAATTCCATCTTTCTTTAATATATATATTATGGTGTCACGTAGGACCATATTGCTTCCACACCAGTGGCTAATGACGTCTAAAAATGGCGATGGAAACAAAATGGGATCGACAGTCATTTGGAAGTCTGTAACCACACTTTAAAATTAATTTCTTTCTCTATATTTCCAAAATATTTTACAGAGGCATTCTGGGCAAAGGCTCTACCATGGAGGAATATCTCCAGCCTTGTAGAAGCATTAAATTAGAAAGCAACCCTGGGAGAACAGCAGTGCTCAAAGTTCTCTTACATTGGTATTCAAGATGGTTTTTAGGAACTTATTTTTTTTGGAAACCCTTTATTTTTGTTAGGACACATTTGCAGAATATAACGATTACATTCGTCATAGGGAGTTGGTACATGACATAACTTAATTCTTTTTATGTTCCTTTCCCATGGTCCTTCGGACCTTTTAAGGGTGGCTGTGGGTAGGGCAATATATTTGATCGAGGCCTCAAAAGTTCTCAAACTCTATTATATTAATACTTTTGAGCTAAAAATTGCCTGTTTGTTAAATTCGCACATACATATACATATTTCATTTCTTAATGTATTATTAATATATTGTGTTTTCTCAATGGAAATGCCTGGGGTCTTTCCTGACCTCTGACAAGCCCCACAGTCACACTTCAATTGCATGTTTGTTGGTATCTGAAAGTGCTCCCATCTATTGACGAACTCCATGCCGATACGATACTCTTTCAATCTCTTTCTGACTTGCTGAGACTCTGAGATAGAATGGAAACCGGAAGGTTAAAATGTGTACTAAGTGCACTTAGTGAGCTGGAAACTGGAAGGAACTTGGATCAAGTCTCACCTCAAAACAGGAGTGCTCTGGGCCAAAGTTCTCTTCCAACGAAGTGGAATTTAGCTTGTGGGAATCTCATAAAGTTTTATTTCCTTCTTATCGCTCCCTATTCCTTGACGAATTTGGGAATTTGAGCTCTAGGTTGTGTTTATGGACTCTCTGCTTCACTTATAGTACCCGGCATAGAATTTTATACAAGGCGTAATAAAAAAGTACAGGGAATGTTTAAATTTTTAAAAATTATTGCAGCAAAAGACACATTGCCGTTAATCCTCTCAAAATACTCCCTCCGGTATCAGACACACTTATCCCTTCATTCTTACCACTTTCTGAAGCAGCTCAAAGTCCTCTTTCACGTCTTTAGGATGTGATCCAAAATATGGTAAATGCTGCTGCTGAGTGCTGTGCAACAGAAAGGCAGGCTCGTAAAAACGTTACAGCATGTCCTAATCCACTTTATCCATGGACTCTGGCACTGTGCAACTTCTAGTTTTTCTCCAAAGTCAAAATGAAGAGCAAACATTCTGAATCCATTCAGGACATCAAGGCAGCCAGGCCAGCACAACTAAAGACACTCTAGAGCTGCCTCAGAAAGTGGCAAGGAGTGTGCGATAAGAGTATTTGCAATGAGGGGAAATATTCTGGGAGGGATTAGTGGCAATATGTCTTTTACTACAATAATTTAAAAATAACATTTAAGCCACAAACCATTTTTTATCACATCTACACTATCTTGTGCCTTCTCTCCAGATGAAATAAACTCTAAGGCCCTCCAGACAGATGTAATTTTCAAGTTTTGTCTTCTGGGACAATAGGTTGGGGTGGACACCAAGATTACCGTGGTAGTACCTGGTAACACACTGGGGAGTCAATGCCACTGCTTTGAGGAACATAAATTCTAACCCTGAATTTCGGTGACATCACTTGGCTGCTGCTTTGGCCCATCCTTTTGTTAAACTAGTCCTCTGGTAGAGCCAAAGCCACAGTCCCTTCTGTTGTGGGTGGGGCCGTGGTTGGGAGGCATTGGCATGGGGTTTGGGGCCCACACACTTCCCCCCTGCCTTTGTTACCAGGTAACTGAACACAGCGAGGTGGCCTTCAGCGTAGGTAAGCTGAGTTTCTGGTGGTGATAGCCCTGCAAAGACAGGCAGGAGGCAGCTAGCCACTCATGCCCAGGTTCTCTTAAATCTGTCTTCAAATAACTGAATGGAGAGAGGGTGCATAGTTGACTTAACATTTTCATATTTTGTTATAAAATGCTTTGAAATAATATGATTCATGGTTCTTAATAAAAATTGTTAGTTCCTTTAAATTGGACAAGGCTTTAAAGGGTCAGATTGTTAAGCCATTAGGCAGGAAATCAGCTGTGAAATGGGGCAAATGGCTCCCCACAACAAGCCATCTCAGTGTGGGACGTATTTTTAGCTGACTAGTACTGACTTCTCAAGCCACGAAGTGCTAGAGTAGAGATTTCTGTGGATCCATCAGTTACTTGATAAACACTTTAGTAGATTTCAGAAGGAGAGAATCAAAAAATCTTCCTTTAAGAATCTTCCCCAAAGAAGGCAAAATTCCATCTTTGGAGGAATGGGAGCACAGTGCAGGGAAGGTTTCATGTGGGACACCATGACTGTATGTGTGACCCTTTCACAAAGGCAGGCAGGAGACCTGACAAAGCTGTGTGGCCCATGACAACACACTCCATCTACCTGGGCTTTAGATGACTCTTCTAGACAAAATGGATCATCTCTAAGATCCATTTCAACCCTCAGATTTTAAGGCTGTGGGTAACTAAGGAGGTTGGGGAGGATGGCTGAGGAGCCAGCTATGCCTGGAAGTCTAGCAGGGTCAGCATTAGTCTGAAATCTGGGAAAGGGGTGGAAGATGTCCTCCAAAAATAAGAAAGAAAAGAAATTCAAGTACCCTTAAATGGCGTTCTTAGGGTAAGTGATTTTTGAACTTTGGCTAAGTGATATACTTAGTGGAGGTATCAAGATCCAACACTTGGAGCCTTTATTAGGTGTATTAGGGATATTAGTTTGCTCTCATATAGTAGCCATCTTTTTCTGTTTGCCTCACAAGCCCAAGGCTGGTGAGAGTGTGGAAGCACTTGAAGCAGACTGCGTGGACCACAGGGAGCAGTCACTGTACATGAGCAACATTATAATGGTGTCTTCCATAAAGTACCTCAGCAGCCTCCTAGAAGGTGAAATTCACTCTGACACAGGGGCATTTATGAATTTGCTTGACTGATTGCCTGGGAATTATTGGCTAGACCAGATGAACGTGGACTCACTTCTCCCAGAGGAAGATCCAGTAGGTAATCACAAGGGCAACAGGACTAGCTCAGCCACTGGGTGGCCCAACTCAGACCCCTGGGGTTCCCTGAGGTCTCAGCTCTTTAGCCAGTGAAATCCAGAGCTTGTAACAGGGTCAAGAAGGGTGTTCCATGTAAAAACACTTGTAGGGTGTTGATTGACCTTGTTTGAAAGAGATAACCTGTAAAATATCCCTTTGAAAAGTGATTTCACTAGCACTTAACCATATTTTGTCTTGGATTGGTTTTGGGGCTAAGCCCCTTATCTCTGGCTCAATGAACTCACAATCTCTCTTTCCCTCTCATCTTTCCCCATATCCTGGCCCCATCAGAACCTCCTTCAATAACTTTCCTTTCATTATTAAGGATATTTAATAAACAGCTGTTTAAAATATGACCAGTATAGGCACATCGAAAACATGCTTTCTGATGAAACAAAGCCTAAATGAATAGGGAATCAAAATGCCCAACTAATAATAGTTTGATAATGAAACCAGTAGACTA